GACCAGGTAGTTGATAGTGGAGAAGGAAAGGTTGTGTGTATGTGTGTGTCAGAGGGAGGGAGGGAGGGAAGTGAAGGTTGGGTGAAAGGGTGGCAACTGGAGCCAAAGAAAAGTCTCACTGTCCCTGATCTACGCATCATTATACTGAATAACTTCAACTCTGTTGGATCATGAAAGAATCTTGGTCCATCACCTAGTTACACAAATGTTAGCCAAATGGTCCAAGAAGGAGGAGGAGGGATTGTCGATGTTGCAATCCCAGGTGACAGAAGGATTGATGAAAACAACTGGAAAAGCTTACAGGATATGAGGATTTAAAAATCAAACTGCAAAGACTCTGGCACAAGCCAGTAAAGATATTCCCAGTGGTGATCGGCACACTGGGTGCAGTGCCTAAAGACCTTGGTCTGCACATAAACACAATCGGCGCTGACAAAATTACCATCTGTCTGCTGCAATAGGCCACCCTACTGGGATCTGCACGCATTATTCGCCGATACATCACACAGTCCTAGACACTTGGGAAGTGTCTGATGTATGATCCAATACAACAACCAGCATAGTGGTCTTGTTTGTTGTGTACTGATCTTGTCGTGTTTCAAATAATAATAATAATAATAATAATAATAATAATAATAATAATAATAATAATAAATATTATTATTATTATTATTATTATTATTATTATTATTATTATTATTATTATGACAAAGACTCTGGCACAAGCCAGTAAAGGTGGTCCCAGTGGTGATCAACACACTGGATGTAGTGCCTAAAGACCTTGACCTGCACTTAAACACAATCGGTGCTGACAAAATTACCATCTGCCAGCTGCAAAAGGCCACCCCACTTGGATCTGCATGCGTTATTTGCCAATACATCACACTGTCCTAGACACTTGGGAAGTGTCCGACGTGTGATCCAATACAACAGCCAGCAGAGTGATCTTGCCTGCTGTGGACTCATCTTGTTGTGTGTCAAATAATAATAATAATAATAATAATAATAATAATAATAATAATAATAATAATAACAACAACAACAACAACAATAACAATAACAACAGCAAAAATGCAGACTGTGCAATGTGAGTTCATTTAGTAACTCTACCCCCCTCTCCAATCATATCCTCAGCTGCTGCAAGAAAATAGACTACAAACAAAGGCACAACTCTGTGGCCCAAATGATTCATTGGAACTTATGTCACAAGTACCACCTGCCAGCAGTAAAGAATTGGTGGGGTCATAAACCTGCAGAGGTAGTGGAAAATGAACATGCAAAAATACTGTGAGACTTTCAAATCCAGACTGACAAAGTTTTGGAACACAATACGCCAGACATCACGATTGTGGAAAAGAAAAAAAGTTTGGATTATTGATGTTGCCATACTAGGTGACAGTCGCATTGAGGAAAAACAACAGGAAAAACTCAGCTGTTATCAGGACCTCAAAATCAAACTGCAAAGGCTCTAGTATAAACCAGTACAGGTGGTCCCAGTGGTCATTGGCACACTGGGTGCCGTGCCAAAAGATCTCAGATGGCATTTGGAAACAATGAACATTGACAAAATCATGATCTGTCAACTGCAAAAGGCCACCTTACTTGGATCTGCTCGCATCATCCGAAAATACATCACACAGTCCTAGACGCTTGGGAAGTGTTCAACTTGTGATTTTGTGATACGAAATCCAGCATATAGATCTCATTTGCTGTGACATACCCCCGGTGGCGCAGTGGGTTAAAGCACTGAGCTGCTGAGCTTGTTAATCGAAAGGTCAAAGGTTCGATTCCGGGGAGCAGCGTGAGCTTCCGCTGTCAGCCCTAGCTTCTGCCAACCTAGCAGTTCGAAAACATGCAAATGTGAGTAGATCAATAGGTACCGCTCCGGGGGAAGGTAACGGCGCTCCATGCAGTCATGCTGGCCACATGACCTTGGAGGTGTCTACGGACAACGCTGGCTCTTCGGCTTAGAAATGAAGATGAGCACCACACCCCAGAGTCAGACATGACTGGACTTAATGTCAGGGGCCTACCTTTACCTTTTACTGTGGTTTAGTGTCAGAATAATAATAATAATAAATAATAATAATAATAATAATAATAATAATAATAATAATTTCTTTATAATCCACTATATCTCCCCGAGAGAAGGCCACAAAGAGGGCATGAAAGCCTTTCCCTTGGTGTGGTTGCTCCTGCCGCCTCCCAAACTTGTGCTCTATGGTGAATTGCCTTCAAGCACAGAGATTCAATTTAGCCATCATGTCTAATCATTTACTTTCCCTACAAAAGTGTTACATTGTGGAAGCAATCTTTGCAATGGAAACCTATTTTGTTACTGTTTCCTTCCTGTGACATATTGCAGATTTCCATTTCAGACTTTTCATTTGCGTTTTCCAATAAGAATACTGATAATGTTTTCTTTATTATGCTGCCTACAAAAAAAGAAGAGTTGACTTGTTTTCTTTTATACAGAGAAAAATTTTCTATCTACACTTCCCCATAACCTTTGAATATCTACTTTTGTGTTTCTAGTGGAATAATATTTCTTTTTAAAAAAATAAACAGCCTGTCTTATTATTTGTCCTTAAAAGGAAAAGCTTCAAACATGTTCCAGAGAATGGGCTGTACTGAGAGTGTTAAATTTATTCTGAAATAATCAACAAATGTTGTACTACAAAACACTGGATGATATTCAAACAGCAGCAATCTATCCATGTTTATTCCAACGAAAACTCCACTTTACTGCATGTTAATATTTAGACTAACTCCAATGATTCAATTTATATTAATCAGATTTAAATAATTGCTGAGGAATCTATGAATCTCCAGATGCTATTGGACTTCAGTTCCCATCAAACCCAGGCAGCCTGATTACCGATGATGGAAGTAGCAAATTTGTACATGGAACACCACTGGTTCCCCATTGGATCCCAATTTCCATTTTCTGGAGGCAACCTGGGCAATGATGGTGACAATGGAAGTAAAAGGGCATCATATGGAGGTTCCACTAATTCCCAATACCAATTCAGTAAATCTGGTTGTGATTGCAGAAGCAGATATATTCAACACACTTAATCTGGATTGAAGTCAGGGTTCTTAAAAAGACTGTGTCTTTATATTTTTAAAATGATGTCTCAGGCCTAGCAAATCCTTAAGGGTGGTTTCATCTATCATCCAAAAGTGTATCACATTTAGTCCCTTTGAGCAACACATCCCACTCACATTAATACATTTTATATTATGTTGCCCCAGACTTACCATTTAATTTCTGCCTGACTCTGATAAAAGCCTATGCATTATCAATGTTATGTCAAATGTAGTCATAAGTATATTAATAGCTTATAAATATGTTTATGTTTGTATTGCCATATACCTTTTTTCAGCTGATATTTTAATTAAAACAATATAGCTACTAAAGAGGCTGTTTGGGTCCTGGTGCTTGGCAGCTGTAACAATCTGGATGAGAGCAAACAGATTGAAATTGAATTCAGACAAGACAGAGGTCCTCCTGGTCAGTTGAAAGGCCGAACAGGGCATAGTGTTACAGCCTATGTTGGATGGGGTTACACTCCCCCTGAAGGCACAGGTTCGCAGCTTGGGGGTGATCCTGGACTCATCACTGAGCCTGGAAACACAGGTTTTGGTGGTGGCCAGGGGAGCTCACAAGTGCGGTTGGTGGGGACAAGAGACAAGGCCTTCTCAGTGGTGGCCCCTCGGTTATGAAACTCCCTCCCTATTAGCCTATAGGAAAAGAGTCAAAACCTGGCTCTGTGAGCAGGCCTTTGGAAACTAAGGCAATACAGTATTTTTGATTCAAAGGCTTGTGCAATTGACCTTAGAACGGACTCAGAATATGAACTTGGATGGCATGCTTTCTAAGTTTTTAACTTTTAAAATCTGATTTAAATCTGTTTAATATGTTGCAATTTTTGAAATGTTTAGATTTTTTATTTATTTATTTTTTGTGTCAGGGCAGCCAGTCAATTATATTACATTTCTAACAGAACAAAGCAAACAAACAGAGAAAATACAAAATGTGTGAGTTTGGTAGTCGATTAAATGTCCTTTGACCAGTATCTGGCCACTTGGAGTGCTTCTGGTATTGCTGCAAGAAGGTTCTCCATGGTGCATGTGGCTGGGCTCAGGTTGCATTGCAGCAGGTGGTCAGTGGTTTGCTCCTCTCCGCACTCGCATGTCGAGGATTCCACTTTGTAGCCCCATTTCTGAAGGTTGGCTCTGCATCTTGTGGTGCCAGAGCGCAGTCTGTTCAGCGCCTTCCAAGTCGCCCAGTCCTCTGTGTGCCCAGGGGGGAGTTTCTCATTTGGTATCAGCCATTGGTTGAGGTTCTGGGTTTGAGCCTGCCACTTTTGGACTCTCGCTTGCTGAGGTGTTCCAGCGAGTGTTTCTGTAGCTCTTAGAAAACTATGTCTGGATTTAAGTCGTTGACATGCACAATCATTTAAATGTTTAGATGATTGTATTGAAGCACAATGTTGTGCCATTGTAAGCTGCCTTGAGTCCCCCTGTCAGGATAGAGAAGGACAGGGTACAAGTATGGCAAATAAATAAATAAATAAATAAATAATAGTAGAATCATGTAATCCTAGATCTAGCCTACACTATAGGGTTGGAGAATAGTTTACTCTCCAATTGATATATCCTACAACTCGGAGAAGCTCAAGCCAGTTGACCAATGGTGAAGATTTGTGGGAGCTGTAGACTAAACTATTTGGAGGACCAAAGGCTCCTGCTGTAGGTGCTTCTTCAATAGCAGTTGAGGGAGTCATGCAATTACGCAGAGTTTGGAAATGTTGCTTTTTTGGACTCCATTGTCCAGAATCTCTGAAATTCAGCCTTGGGAATTCTGGCAAGGTGGTCCACAAATGTAATTTTTGCAGTTACTACAAGAGGAGGCATATAACAAACTCATCATATTAGGTCTACTATGTTCAATGCATAGAAAAATGTGTTCCTTTCTCCTTCCAACTCCTTTCCAGGGTCTGCATACACCAATGCTCCGTTGTCCATCTCAGCGACTCCTAGACCGAATAGTGCGCCGATATGCTGAAGTACCAGATGCAGGGAGCATTTTCATGGACCATTTCACAGACCGGGATAAACTGCGCCTTCTCTACACACTGTCAGTTAATGCTCATCCCATCATGTTACAGGTAGAACAACTTCATTGGCCTTCCTGTAGTATAAATAATTTATTATTTTATTTTTATCCCACATTTCTCATGGCACAGGACTCAAGGATAACACACAACAAATTAAATTAACATACAATTAAAAACTGTATAAAAACAAACATTTAAAAATAATTAAATATACAATTATATCAAAACACTCAGTTTAAAAAGGTTTTAAACATTGTAGAAAAGATAAAGTATTAGTACATTTCATTAAAAGACCATTTTGCCACAATGAATTAAGAGGCAAAGGTCTTTGCCCACTGGCAAAACTAGAGCATGGAAGGGGCCAACCAAATCTTCCATGGGAAGGAGTTCCAAAGCTTGAGAGGGGCCACCATGAAGGTTCCTTCCAAGTCTTCATTAAACATCCTTGTGATAGAGGTAGGGCTGAAGAAAAGTCTTCCCACAAAGATCTTAACACCTAGGCATGCTCAAATAGGGAGAACAGATCTTTCAGATAGACTGGACCTAACTCACTATCCTAAGACCCTGGGCCCATCCTGTCAGGGCCCAAAATGTGCGAGCTTGCATGCTTTTACTGGAGGCATCCAAACGATGCCTCTAGTCAAATTGAATTAATTCAAGACAAAGCAGGTTCCAAATTAAGTTGATACATTTTAAGACCTGGATCTTTGATAAGATCCAGGTCTTTCCAGATATGTTCCCAGCCTGGGTTGGACCCAGCGTGGATTGGGCCCAGTGTGAATTGGGCCCAGGGACCATGTCACGTGATCCCCAGGCCCACCAATCCACACAGCCCTCTTGAGCATTTCAGGCTGTATGAGCCCAGAAAACTCAGAAGGACCAACCCTCTCTCCAACCCTCCCAAAACGCCTTAAATACAAAAAACTTACCCGGCCACCATTAAAGTCCTGTCAGAGTCCTCCTGGCAAGTAGAAATCATACGCCAGCAGAGGAAGGGGGCAGGAAAAAAATCCTCCCCCCCCCCCCATGCATCATTTCTTCATGCCAGGAGGACTCTAGCAGGAACTTAATGGTGGCTGGGGAAGTTATTTTGTATTTTAAGGTCTTCTTTGGGGAGGAGGTGTTGGGTGTCTGGGTGCCCTCCCAGAAGGTACCAGGAGACACCCCTCCAGAAAAGCACGGGGGGGGGGGGTGCTGTCTGGAAATGGCTCCAATCTCAGGTCATGTACCAACAGCAGCAAGAGTGAACTTGCATGGAAGAAAGGGACCATGATGTACGAATCTAAGCTTTTTCTTTAAAAAAAAGAGTTTACTGGTGAGGTAGGATTTGAAAAGGGCTCTTTAATGATCTAAAAATGATATTTAAAATTCTTTTTCACATAATCTTAAACACCCATTTATTTATTTATTTAAACAAGCAAATACCATTAATGTGTGTATGTATTGCTCTCAGCACGTCTAGGGATTATTTCTGGTGAAACTTAACACCATCACTTCATCAAATAAACTTTTTCTGAGAGTCTGCACTGGACTCTCAGTGCAGCCCCCCCCCCCATTTTTAATTCTGCACCACCACTTGAAATTTTCCTTCATTCCCCAAATTTCTAGCATTTTACATAATGAGATATTGAAAATACTTCACACCTAGAACTCTTGTATTTCCAGTCCCATGGCAGTCTCATCTGCCCCTTTTATTCAGGTGCCTAAACTGCAAACTTCTAAATGCTCAGCTGAAAGTGTGAGCATTTATGTGTAATTATTACCAGAATTGCCTATGATTGCAAATAATGTGGTTTTATAGTTATAATTGAAATGTTTTATATGTTTTAATGATCTTAATCTCATTTAAATTTTTGATTGAAATGTTTATTTAATTGTATATTGGATCTATATTGTTTTTAAGGCATTGAATTATTGCCCATTGTGTAAGCCGCCTTGAGTCCCCCTCAGGGTTGAGAAAGGTGGAATATAAATATAGTAAATAAATAAATAAAGTTTAAGTTGCTGCAGTAATAGAAATGTGTGGACTGAAGTAGAAAATCATTGAGGATGGCATAATTTTTATTAGGAAGGGGCAATGTCCTTATTTTACTCCTTATTAAGCATATCCCAGATGATGTCTCTTGTTGGATGTGAGCTACTATTTATTTATTATTATTTATTTAGAACTTTTATATACCAGTCTTCTCACTTTTAACGAGGGACTCAGGCTGGTTTACAACATCAACTCTTGCCTCCTCAATTTGGAAAGCTGGTTTTAAAAACCAATTTGTTACTGTTAAACTTTCACACACACACACCCCAGTTAACATTACAGTTCAAGTTCAAAGCAACTATGTATAATATATAATGCTATTTCTCAAACACAGTGAAAATAGTTGCTTTTCAGCTGGTTATTTTTGCAAAATTTCAGTGCTGCAAACTGATGTTTTATGATACAAAAGATGTATCACCTTAATATCCCCAATAGAACAAGAGGTTGCACTGGAACCATGCGATATCCCCCTTCTATTGTTTAATGTGGCTTTAAGAGTACAAGTGGCTGAACAGGCAAGTTTTTCACCACATTATCCATAACGTAAATTAGTGACACCTTCATTATGACAAAAAAGTCATGAATTACAACTAACATATTAGTACCAAGCTCTGTTCCTTCCCTCATGCAGCAGAAACATTCTTTGGGCAGAAATGGCATTACTGACTTCAGGAGACATCTCCCAAAGGAGCTTCTTGAGGTGTTACATGATATTACCAAAATAGGTAAAGTGCCCTGGAGTGGATTTGCTGTTCACAGATCTATAAGTCACCTGTTTCCACCGTCCCCAGGCTTCCAGAACTTTCACAAAGAATAAGCTTTTAAAATTGGGTTTAAAAGTGTTGTAGATCTATCAACTTCTACCATGTACAGCTAGTGTGAGTACTCATTGGGGCTAATGAGAGATCGCATCAAACAACATCTGGGGACCCAAGGTAGTCTTTTTACTAAAGTTAATATAATATATATATTTTCTATTTTTAATTTTCCCCATTTTCACAAAAAGTAGAATATACTTTATCCTTCTGTTTTACTTTGCTGCCTTCACTAGTTGGATGTTTGAGATCATTATTTTTAGCCCACAGCCATTTTCAGCATTTGCAGTGAAAACTGAGAGATATTACAGTTTTGGAAAGCTGGTTACTCATGTGTGCATTTTAGTGACCTACTTGTACTTTCGCCCATTCTGACAAGCCTGTAATAAATGTTTCTTGCAACAAATGTCTTTTGATGTAAGAGATAATTTTCTGAGTCTTTCTTAAATTAGAAAAATATCATAAGCAAAGTTTACATGTAGAACTTTAGCCTTGATTTGGCTCATTAATTTCACCCTTCAAATAAAAAAAAACTTGACAAAAGTAAAACCAATTATTTTCTATCTAATTAAGTGCCCCGACATTTTGATATAGCAAGGGTTTAGAAGGTAGTGGAGATAAACTAGCTTATAATCATGACTAAGTATGTACAACATACAATTTTGAGACATCAGCTTAATGGAAAATAACAATTCTTTCTGAACATTTTCCATGTGGTAACAGCAAACCATTGACAAAACAGGACAAGTATTATGTAACTGGTTTTCAAGAATAGTATGTGTATACAGTGGCACACAAGTGAGCATATTCTAACTGAATATGCTAACATACAAGTGGGATACAAGGTTGGTCCTCATCCAAATTTCACTAGGTTGACACCATCCATATATTTTGAACTCCAGTTCCCAGTGTTGTTCATGATGACCTATTTATCTTTTAAAAATATTACACACTTCTGTCTCCCAACTTACTCAAAATGGTGAGGCTCATCCTCCTACACCCCAAAAATACTCCCAAAAGAGAATAGCAATACAATTAAATATTATGAATGATGGACCCTTGGAAATGGATGCCTTTCACTGAAGGAAAAGTAACACCATCACCTACAAAATGTAGCCCAAGCTGTTTGCCTACAGTTAGTGCATTAATTAAGGAATTGCTAGATGTAAGCGACAGGTGCTTTATCCAAAAAAGAAGAAGAAGAAGAAGAAGAAGAAGAAGAAGAACAAATTAAAAAATAGACTGCACTTCTTCAATGATTATATGGCCATGTTCTCCCTTACATACGCCTTGAATCAGATTGGAGCTTGTACAAGATCCATTTTTACAGACAGGGAAATTAGTAGAAAAGTATGAATATATTACATGAGCCTTCAGTGCTAATATTGTGTAGTGTGATGCAGCTCAAGAAGAGAACAGCATCAGCATGATTGTGAAGCTGGCTAGCAGTACAGTGTTCCCTCACTTATTGCGGGTGTTACATTCCAGGACCATCCGCAATAAATGAAAATCCACAAAGTGGAACTGCCCCTTCCCCCCTCTCTCTCTCTCACACTCACTCGATGGTGATGGTAGTAGTAATGCCATGGCCCGCCTTCCTTGGCGGCTCTTCCCTCTGGCTGTTGCTGCACCAGAAGTCTCCGGAGCAGATAGTCCCGGTGGAGGAGGCTTGTTGTTGCCGCCTGGGCCTCTGCTGCCTCCACTGCCCGCCAAAGACTGTGGTCCACTTTCCTTGGGTGGCTCTTCTTCCCTCTGGGGGCAGCAGCAGTGGGAAGGAAGGAGGAGGAGGAGGAAGATGAAGAGGGCTGGTGGCGGTGGCCCTCTTCACCTTCCTCCTCCTCCTCCTCCTTGGCGCATCCCTTACCGCTGCTGCTGCCCCCAGGGGCAGCAGGATCCAGATCTGCAAGGTCTCCCAGATCTGGATCCAGGCCACACAGGGATCCATCCATACAGTGTTCCCTTGCTACTTGTATTGTATATTTATTTATTTTTTTAAAAAATGCGAAACAGAGGAAAACATGGAAAGCGAATGGCGAAGTAGGGAGAGAACACTGTGCATGGACACTTGCTGTCATTTTGTGTCTGCTGTTCCTCTGAATGCCATCATGGTCTGGATTACTTTTACATCTCATAATACTTATTAGGTACAATTAACACCTGTTATAAAAAATTGCAGACCTTTCATACTTTTTCCAGTCTTTGCTGAAGTGAGGTCTGATGACAATGTAATCATTAGTTGTGCAAGGCTGTTTATAGTCAGACGTAATCTACATTCTCATATTACAGGTGGTACCCAAGTTAAAAACACCCAAGTTACAAATGACTCATAGTTAAGAATGGGGATGAGACACCAAGAAGTGAGAGAAATTTACCTCTAGGAAGGAAAATTAACTCCTGGGAGAGTTATCGCGGGGAAAGTTGTCTCAACTGAAACTTTTTCACCAATACTTGTTTCCACAACAAGCCAATATTTTCAAAATCCAGTTATCACAGGGACAGAAAGTATGGTGAAATCTTCTGAATGGGAGCACAGACAGCAAAACAAACACCAGTGGGCTGCTAACCCTTCCAAAGCTAAAGAATATATATTTTTGGCTGAAGTTACACTGAAAAAATGTACCTGCTCTGACTTACAATCAAATTCAATTTAAGAACAAACCTACAGAACCTATCTTGTTCATAACTTGGGGACTGCCTGTACATATTATTACCAACAGTAGCAGCTTTTCCTCTCTTTGACAGATTTTTCCTGGAGCAGAAGGCTGGCCATTTCCAAAATACTTGGGGTCCTGTGGTCGGTTGATAGTTACTACCAGCACCAGACCCCTGAAGGCTTTCTACGGCACAACGCCTGAAGTGGCAGCAGATTTGGCTCTTCAGCTCCTTGCTATCCTTGAGTCCATGGCAAATAATGATCTGAGCTATTTCTTCTACTTTACTCATGTCGATACTGGCACGTTTGGCGTTTTCAGTGATGGACATCTGTTCATCCGAGATGCCAGCACTCTGGGAGTCATTGACAAGCAGGAAGGTACCCACATTCATCTTTCAGTAAGCGTCTGTCACAAGAAGATATGAGGCAGGACAAAAAATAGATTGCATTCATTTGCTCTTTAGGCATGGGCATGTAATTGTAGAGCAGTGAATTAAAATTACAATAGGCAGCAAGTGGCAGAAATCTCCACACAATGCTAAGCTGACAGATTTTATTTGGGAGTCAAATTCAAACTCAACTGAAGTTATGCAGGTGTCTGTATATACACACACACATATATGTGCTGTGTTCTTACACATATATTCATAGTGTTGTCTACTACTAAGTGAAGAAGACTCCAACAAATGTGAGATGGACCCTTGCAGGACTTCTTCATTTCAGATGTCATAATGTTCAATAAACTGTTGCATGTGGAAGGATTGTCTATCAAGGAAGAGCTGTAGGGGGTGCACTCTTTCTTGAACTGCACTAGCTTTCTATATAATGGGAAACAAACATATTTTCAAGAATGGTTGCCTCTTCTTCATACTATGCAGTGCTAGGTATAATTTAATACCTCTATACCAGCTATGGGAAACTGTGAAAGACAAGGGAGAGGCATTCACACACAGAAGAACTTGAAGGGCTGCATTCGCTCCTGCATTTTTTTTAAATGTTCTCAAATGCTTATGGGGCCTATGGGGGCATTATCTTCCTGTTTTGGATTTCCCCTTTAGGTCTCTCATGGGGTAAACTGGCCTAAGGAACCCAGAAAATGTTATAGCAATGCAACCCCTTACTGGACATTTTTAGCATTTTGGGCCAAAAAAAACCCAGTATTAAACCCCCCCCTCCCCCATAAAAACGTTTTTGATAGAAAGCTCCAAATTCCTAGAAGGCTCTACACCGAAGAGTGCATTTGGGGGCATTCCCAAGCAATATATTAAATCCCTCCTTCTTTATCTGTCTTTCATTTAGACTATAAACCTGATGACAAGAACTATGTCAGATATCTTCTAAGCTATTCTAGAACTGTTTGGGGGGGGGGTACAGAATGAGGTATAGCTGCTACATACAATTGAGACAGATATTTTAAAAATTAAGTAATCATTCAATAATACACAATTTGCAGACACTCAAAAAGGGAGAACCCACTACCCACCAAGGCAGTCTATACCACAGTCAAACAGGTCTTAAAGACATTATTCCTAACATTTTGGTGGGGTTACCTTTTCTTGTAACTAAAATCCAAGTAGATTAATTACTATTGTGTGCATTCATTTTTTAAAGAGAAAGTCTGTGCAAAACCCAGAGAATGTTGAAAATAGGGCAATTTAAGTGCCAAGGAAATTATTATTATTATTATTATTATTATTATTATTATTATTAAACTTTATTTATACCCTGCCACCATCTCCCCTCAGGAACTTGGGACAGCTAACATGAGGCCAAGCCCGACAGATACAATAAACAAATGAAATACATACAGCAAAATCATAATTAAAATTAAAATTAAAATAAAATTAAAATAATATACCACAATTAAAAAATCTGTAACTAATTTTTAACTAACATTTGTTATTGTTGTTGTTAGGTAGCCAATGGATGGATGGACAAGAGGAAGAGAAGGATATTTTTAGTTGCTTGGTGACCAATTGCCAATCTGTGGTCCCCTCCTGTAATTCCATCAAGCATACCCAGAGCCTCAGCATAGTGTGCGCAGAACTTCTATCTAAGCTCTTAAAAAAAACGTTTCTATCTCCTGTGCAAAAGAAGATCGACGAGGCTCTGAATATCTGTGCAGACAGCTCTCTCACCAACGAAGAGATTGTCCTGGCAGCTCAGGAGCTAGTTGGCGTTTTGAAACCTCTAAGGACCTGTGATTCCCATTTTACCTACCGCTATCCTGACTGCAAATATAGTGTCAATCCCTGAAGAAAATGTTTTGCTGGGATCTCAAAGCTATTCTCCACATGTCTCTCCTGCCTTTTGAAGTTACAAGAACTGGAATTATTCAGTCCACAGGGACATGAACACTTTTCCACTCTGCTAATGTACCATGGCCACACTTTGTAGCTCGGTTGGGTTAGCAGTTTTCAAAAGCTCTCAAAGTTAGCTTCGTAGCACCTATGTGGCAATGCAGGACCCTGAGCCACTTATTTATTTTCTATGTTCTAACACCTCTTGTTTACTTCACCCAAATGTACAGTATTGCTTGCATACAAGCTAGTTGCTGCAGACCATGGCATTTCTAGATTTTTTTCCCAGAAGTGCATTGGGCCAAAGATACAATTTTAGTTATTTTTACTGAGTCAGCTGCATAGAGAGCAATTATTGAATAACTATCAAATGACTTTCCTGATTGCTGGCTGGAAATTGAATCTTTTGTCTTTTTCAGGAAAGCAGAGACTTACTAGGAATTGCCATTATTTTGGGTCACTCTTTTTTCCCCAGCTGTAGTGGTAAGTTAGGTTTGTAGCCAAGTATGGATTTGACTAATTTTCTGTTTGAGATCATGATTTGCATCTCTATTATTTCTGGGTTGATTTTTGGGGATCAATAGTTTACAGGAGGCTACTTGGGCTTCACCATCTGGTTGCTTTCACTTCACCTTCTTTTACCACAGGTACATTAAATCTTCTTGTTCTCTAGTCTACTTTCCTATCCAGCCTCATTTCATTTGTTCTTGTCGGAACAGAGACTGATTGACTGGAAAGGCTTGCCTCAGTCACAGGAGGAGTGGAAAGGAAGATTCGCTGATATCTGCAGTTCTAGAAACATGAGGAAGGATCAACAGGTGTAACAGTTTAATACAAATTTAATGATATCTCCATGGGATGAAATAGGATCATAAGTGATTCTTAAGACTATCTGTTTGACAAAATGGATAATGCATATGTGTCTGGAAGGCAGACCTTGACAAGTGGGTGTTGAGGTGGAATGAAGACAAGAATCAGGGGGCATCAGAAAGGATTTTGCTCAGTAAGTTGATTTTGATAATAAGAAAAATGACTTAACACAAAGTGGTTCAAAGACATAAAACAGCATAACAGAACACATTAGGGTACAAGAAATAGCGTAAGGAAACTGCGTAAGCATGTATATTCTCTGCCTTTAAAAAGGGTATGTCATAAGCATGATGATAATGTGGTTAGATTGTTCAACGTGTGATGCCATTATAATAACGCTAGAAGAAGGAAGGTTGAGGTTTGGAGATGGCAGTTTGGTTAAGGCAATGTTCATGGCTAAGGTCACAATTTAATTGGAGATTTCCTGACCCACAGCTCACATTTCAATACTTGATTACACAAAGATCTTAATCACAAACCTCCCATTACTTTTTAAAGATAGTAACATGGGCCATTTCTAACACACTCACCTATTATTCAAAACAAGAAATTGACTTTGTCACCTCCAGTTGCTTTTTTTGGGGGGGAGGGGGATTTTTATAGTTTATTTGGCCACTGGAAGTCCCAGGGCAGGAAACCGGCCCAGGACCCATTGCATCTGAACACCTCTGCCTACAAGGTTTGGATCCCTCTCCCCTTACATTACATTGCATAAGGACAAAGGATAAGGATAACCCAGTGATCCTTTTGCAGACTACAAATGTGTGAATCTGAAGAATTGAGCAGTGTGAGATTGGAGAGGTGATGTTTTCCATGGGGAGTTCTATAAGACACTACACAATATCCCAGAGTATTTGTAAGGTATCAGCACAAACACAAAACAATCTATGCGTAATGTCAAAGTGTATTATCAAAAGAGCATATAGTATTCCATTTACCAAAATCCCCAGTTTTTTAACAGGGGTGCCCAGGTATTCTTGTACCCTGTTTCTGGGGATTTTGGTAAATGGAATACTATATGCTCTTTTGATAATACACTTTGACATTACACACAGATTGTTTTGTGTTTGTGCTGAGTTCTATAAGACAGTGGGTTACAGATTTCTGAATATGGAATTATGAGTTGAGTGTGGGCTAGATGTAGCTTTCCTCTGACCTGCAAGTTGCTTCTGCTGTTATCTTTGTGGCTATAGATTTATGGATCCGAGGAAGTTTAGCAGAATGGGATTGATATTTTCAACACTTGCTTCCTATGGAAAAGCCTACAAGGAAGATCATGGTCATGAATATGACCAGAGGTGGAGTAGTAGCAGCTCCAAGAATTGTAATATCCCATGTCTATCTGGTGAGTAGGAATGGTATTGGTAACCTCAGCTATGATTGTTACTAGGGCAACTATTGAAAAACTGCCTCTATCTCTGAAAGGTGGCATATTTGCAGAACAAGGAACCTTTAGCCTTCCTTATGTTCTCATGCATACTACTCAACAAGGCTGATGTTCTTATTTATTTCCCATCACTTCCTCCACCATGGGACCCAAGTGGTTTACAGAATAAACATGAAATTTGAAACATGTGTGGCCAAGCAATATCAGAGTGTGGTCAAGATGGCAGAAATTACTAATTAGGAAGAACATTCAAGCTAGTAGAGTTTGTTTTTGTTTGCATTTACTAGGAAGGACAAGACTTCACCACCTCCTGCCCTTTTCCCCTGCTGAGTTAACTACGTGCAAATTACACTTTCATACTTTGAGTTCTGTTTGCTACAATTGATGTAAGCTAAGGCAAAAGGGAGTAATGGATGGGGGAGAAAGAATCTGAGACAATTTAAAAACATCAGAAAAAAGTGGGGTAGATTTAGGACTGTCCCTGACAAACTGGGATTAATTGGAGATAATGCACAATTTTTTAAAAAAAACAATGAGAAAATTGTTATAAAACTAAGTTCTATGAAATATTTATTTAAAACAGCACAAAAGCACGTTAAAAACATCACTGTTAAGGATAAAAGAAGGGTTTGTGGGAGTTTTTTTCAAAACTTCTGGAGGGCCAAATCCGATTCTTGTTCTTCCTTTGCTGTTTCGCTAAGAGAACGCAGAAAAATTATGCATCCTCCCTCAAGTCCCACAGCAATATTGCTTGAGCTTCTTGAAGAAAAGTTGCATCTATGTGCTGGTCCCACTGATGCTATGGTTCCATTCCATGGGCTATGTGTCCTTACTATTGACAGGGAGCATCAATATTGATGTGTATTCTTGCCACCCCAAAGTTCCAATTAGATTCAGATATATGAGGATGGCATATTTTCCAGCTGCTAAATGTAAGACCATCAGCTGATCAAATGCTCACACTAACTGTTTAAGTTATTATTTAGTAAATGTGCCATAATTCCTCTGAGAGGAGGCTGTCCTGTACCAGTGCTATTCAACATAAGATTGGTCCCATACTGTAAGTCCTCAGATGCTGGTCCGTGGGTTTCTAGAAAAGAAAAAAATACATTACAATAAAAGGACATAAATATAGACACCAGAGGGGAAAATGGCCAAGATAACTTAAGAAGGACAGCACTATATAAAGTCAGGTCATTGTTCGCTCAATATGAGGGTTGCCAGATGTCTATCACTAGAAGATGTCCTACTTGATGTCTGGAAAACTTGTCCCTTATAGAACTGGCAGATATACTTTATAACTCTACTTGAGGTCTAGAAAGCAGTTCTTTTTACATAATGAACAAGATACGCTAAAAATCATCTTTGGGAATGCAGAAACATCATAAAAATAAAGTGAGAGATTGGTGCTTACAGTGAAAATTCATTCATGGCTGGCAGGATCTACTGACTCTGTTTTTTTCTCCCTGACATGCACTCAATAATCCATAAGTCAGTGTATTGCTTGTCCATATCATCCAGAAGAATCTGTGCATCATGTAATTTACAAATGTGGAACATACATTAATTTTAGAGTGAAATGCAGTTATTCAGATCAATCTTGTTAATAGCTGAATCTGTCTGTTAACACCCTGTACACTACCGATTTCTGTCCTTCCTATGCCTACCTTCAGGCAGGAGTCCTTCCTATCCCTACCTTGAGATGCAAAAGAGCGAAAGGCAACAATTCTGCTACTGAGCTATGGTATTTTTTATTTGCCATTCCATATATTAGCACCAGTAATTAAGATAAACTGCAGCGGAAGGGGATGATATTTTAGCTAGAGAGATCTAGGCCAAAGAAAGATATCTATCATTATTTAGGAACCTAGATTCAATAGCAGAGTTTTAGTCTCCCAAGGATGTTGTTCTGAGAGTCTTCTCATAGGCCTGTTTCCCTGTGACTTTATCAATGTTGCAAGTTCTAAGAGCCCTAGCCAGTTTTGCCAAGAATGCTAGGAATTGCAGTACAACATCCAGGCATACCTCAATTCTCACCCTTAAATTAAACAAGAGGAATAATTTCCACTTGGAAAAAATAATGTGGCAAACATTTCATCTGATCGAATATTGTTAAGAACCTTAAACAGCTTGTAAGGTATATTACAGCATTCATTGTCTACTCTGCAAATGAAAATTTCACATACAGGTCTTCATATATGGTCTGAATGCCACCACTCATTTGCTAGCCAACAAATGGCTTTATGTATTTGAGGATACGAATTGTCTTAAATTCAGTCAAAACATAGAAAATAATATATAAAAATATGTATGTTACTGTTGTTACTCCAACAGCTCCCCAAACTACCAATATCAAGATGATTATTTACCAATATTGATTATTCAAACAACATATTTTAAATTTTCCTTACAAATCCTTTAAAGCAACATCTCAGGACTTTGTGATATTCAATATAAATGGTAATTATAAATGGTAATTATTTAAAAGTTATAATTATAATTATAATTAAAGTTCCTTGAAGGAGCTGGGGGTGGTCACGGCCGACAGGGAGCTCTGGCGTGGGCTTGTCCATGAGGTCATGAAGAGTTGGAAACGACTGAACGAATGGAGAACAACAACAAATTAGAATGAATTATTACTATGTATTTAAGATAACTTAAATATTTTATTTACCTCCATCCTGTCCTGAAAGAATACTGCAAATAGGAGGTTATGCAAAACAAAACAAAACAAAACAAAACAAAACAAAACAAGCTCAAATATAGCTTCAGGGAAGATCCCATAGTGCCCATATCTCAAAGGATTGGTTTCTAGGCTTTAGATAGCCTTGGTCACTGTTCTGTGGACATGTTCCACCTTGTTGTTTATCAGCATGCTTTAAAAATGTTCCCTTATACAACGAGAAAACAGACCATTTCACCTTCTAAAATACGTGAGGTTTTCACACAAAATTATTTCAACAGAAAGGTCTGGCATCTACTCTCACTTATGTCTCATTCAATTTTGTGAAGATGTCTCAGAAGAATATATAAAGTCTAAGACTTCTACTTCCACCAATGCTATGGAATTTAGTCTGCAAAATAACCCTTTCTGCTTCATTATGATCCAACATGATGAACCAGAGAAAGCCGAGCTATTGTTAGATAGTTTACATTACTGACTTGCATTATACAGTACTAGAGTGGCCACAATATTAAATCACTTTAATTATTTTTGGATACATTCAGTGTTTTGGATATCCTGTCACCATAGTGAATAGGCAACACTTGCAAATGCAACTTGCTTTTAGAAAATCCTTTATAGCTATGGAAGATACCCACATCTATGTAGTTAAAATGGTTACAAAACTGAACCATAACACCTGCACATGGTCAAGCAATATTTTCTTCAGCTTCAGGTAAAATGTTGTATCTATGATA